GAGATTCATGGCCTTATGGCTGACCTGACTAATTCAACATCCAGCGACCCAAAATCATGCCGAGCCAAGAGGTTCAGAGAGCTACGATAGAATTCACTGTCAAGAACCCTGAGCTCCAACGCTGATATGAAAGGTATACCAGTGTTGGTGTTAAAAAGGCAAACATGAACATATTCTGATAAGGCAGTATAAATGATTTCTTTGGTTACTATCTCAGATGCATTCTGAAACACCAGAGTGTCCCACCAATCGGCTCCAAGATAGATATCAAACTTGGGAAGAGAGTTTTCACCATCATAGTTTCCATACATGAACATGGCTCTCACTAAGAATTTTCTGCTACTTCCTTGAGGAGCAGTAAGAGTATAGCAGTTCCTTTCTCCTTCTGGGAAGCTTCGAACATTCCGGAACTGCCTTTTAAGAGTCTGTATCTGATGTTTGGGTGATATGCTATGACTTATTCCAGTGGATATGATGTTGGCATCTGAAGAGTAATAGATGGAAGTAGTTTCATCTGTGCAGCTTGGTTCATCCACGAGCCCACAATCAATACTGACGAATCCTGCAAAAAGTTTAAGCATAAGTGGCAAGAAATATGACACATGAAGATGTAGTTACAGTCAGATGAACTCGATGAGACTAGCTATTAGCTAACCTGATTGATCCTGGGAATGAACAATAACTGCAAGAGTCAAAGCAAGTTGAAGTAATGCAAATAGAACATGTCCTGCCATTTGCAATTGTGTTTTGAGTTGAAAGGTTTTTCAGACTAGAAAACTTCCTTGTGCTTTTGGTCAAAATATGCCATATTGTACCAAAAGAAACACAGAAGAACCAGTACCTTCTTTAGACCAGTTCTAAAGTCGAATTGTTCAAAATGAATATATGAACTTGCTTTTTGTTTAGTTCATCTCTGGATGGAGATCAGGATTGTATCTGTAGATGGAATCATGGGTTTTATATTAAAATATTTAGTTGAACCATCAGATGTTATTTCACCAGTAGTTGAACTTGAATTTACATGGTTAACCAGAAGGCCAAAATTAAACAATCTTAGCCCGCATTTGACTTGGGGAAATAATTTAAATTCCGTTAATTAAGCTAGTTATAACACGTCAGGCAAGGAGGGAAAGAGAGTGCGTCCCAAACTGATTTCAGTTAGTTGCTCTCTTCGTGGGGTTATTATAAGGCAGTTTTAAGTTGGATTTTTTTGGTTCTCGATATGAAACATTTGATATACTATTAATTATATTTTTTAATATTACTTCTATTTAAATTCATTAAATATGATAGAGAATGCAATGTAAATATCAAAATTTTTTATTTAAATAAAGTTAAAAATTGAAAATTTATTTTATTTCAGATAAATTTAATAAATTAACCACTTTTTTATTTTTAAATTTTGAAGTAGTTAAAAGTTTTATATAATAGAAACTGGAGGAATATATCAACAAAATCTTTTCCATGCTGTAAATTTTTTTTTTCACTCCAAGAACACTCCTCTACAAACGGTTGGTTACATGGCGGTGGCCCTATTATCAAGACAATAAAACTACTAAAGCCGACTATGAACTTCCATTTTTATTTCTTCTAGATCTAGTTATTAACATAAGACAAATTTTAAATTTTTTTCCCTTAACATAAGACAAAGTTAAAACAAATATTTATTATAGTTTGAATTTTAAAGCAATAATTTATTATAGTTATTAATTACAAAGAAAAATAAAAGTGAAAAGTTATATTCTATATTTCTTAAAAAATATAAGGTATTTTTTTTAGGTTGAATGTTCAAAAATATAACCACTTAACCATTATCTTTAAGTGAGACACTCTATTTTTTTTTTATGAAGGAAGCTAAAAAACAAAACAAAAAGAACAAAGGAAAAACAAAAGAACACCATAGAGAGAGCTTAAGGTGGTTTCAGATAATTCAAGAAATTGGACACATATGGTGCTAGATGATAGAAACCGGGTGCTACTCCCAAAGAACGCTTCGTAAGAGATGAGACACTCTATTTAATAAAAGTATATATGAAAAGATGATGATAGTTTAAAAATAATTAATTTATTTATTAGGAAGTATAATTTAATTAAAAATACTTTATATATTTTTTTTAAAATGAGTATTTTTAAAGAATTTTAAGGATATAACTATAATTTTTTTAATAAGCTTGGTGATATAAAAAAGAAAAAACATAACTTTAAATCCCTGCATTTTGTCCAAATTTTACTATAGGTCATTGCACTTTTTTTAATATTCTAGACCCTTATGCTTTTGTTTATTGATATTTTATGTCCCTTTATGAGCAGTGTTATAGGAATATAAAATATTAAAAAATAAAAGTATAAAGACATAGAATATCAAAAAAAAAAACAGGGACTTATAATAAAATTTAGGTAAAGTATATAGACTTAATGTTATATTTTTTCTATAAAAATTGATAAATCTTATTTATAATAGGTCCCTCTAACAATTTCAACGGGGCTCAAAATTCTTAGACACGGTCCTGGGTATAATGCTAATGAGTTGACTTTGTTTTGATGACAAAAGGAGAGACAAGGACCCATCTACACTTTTTAAATATAAGCATGCTAACTAGAGTTTAGTAAAAAAAAAAAAAATCTACCATTCATGCGTGTATTAAAATAAAGGGAGAATGACAGTTAAGTTCTATGAGAATTAATTAATTTAAATTAAATCTCAACTAAATTTAAAGTGTTAACAAAGTTCCTTAATCCTTTAGTGGTAATAAATCTAACATCTTTATAAATTTACAAGTTCAACTTTTAATTTTACAACTTTATTATGATGCATTTGTAGCTTATTTTTAAAATTTTAATAGAGCTAAAAATAAATAATAGGCAATAGAGAAATGGATGAGCTATTTATTTGATTGATAAATAGGCAATAGGCAAAAAATAAATAATAGACTTAATATTTTAAATATTAAACATAAACATTTGTGTTTCCTATTAAAATATGAAAAATAAATTGTAAATTTATTATAAAAAAGTTGTAAAATTGAAAACCCAACTTGCAAATCCTCAAAGTTGTTAGACTTAATACTTTTTGATATTAAAGATGAACATTTATATATCCTGTTAAAATTTAAATTAAGAAAATAAGTAGCAAATGCATCACAACAGAATTGCAAAATAAAAAGCCGAACTTGTAAATTTCTGAAACTATTAAATTTTATACTTCTTAATATTAAATATAAATATTTGTATTTTCTGTTAAAATTTAAAAAATAAGTTGTAAATATATCATAATAAAAATGTAAAATGAGGAGCTAAACGTATAAATTTTTGCAAATCCTTGTTAAACCTATTACTACTAAAAGATAAAGGGGCTTTGTTGACATTTTAAAGTTAGTTGAGATTTAACTTAAATTAATTAATTTTTTTTAAAATTTAACTGCCATTCTCTCTAAAATAAATTGTCATTTCTATAATTCTTAACCTTGCCCGGAAAGAGACGTTCAAAAAATGAGAGAGAACTCTTATTTCGATAAGAATTAAGAAGAAAAAATTAAGAGAGAAGTCAGAAAATTGGAGAAAAGATAATAGAAAAAATCACAAATCAAGACCATACAAGGAGGGTAATAATAATTTAGGCCCTCTGATTACAGAAATATCAATTTTTTTAACCAATTATTATAGTAAATTCAATTAAAGACCATAGTTTCAATTGTAATTAAAAAATTTTTCACTGTCCAAATTGCCCTTGATGAAAAACTCACCGGCGTACAGTGGCCAAAAAACATGCCCTGCAACAACTCTCTCTCTCTCTCTCTCTCTCTCTCTCTCTCTCTCTCTCGGGATAAAAAACTTTTTTAGCAAAATAATTTGGTCATGATGACTGAAAATGCTTAAAGTGAATGTGAAAATTCTTAACTTCACTATTTAAAAGCCTTAAATTCATTTGAAAATTGACCCATTTCAAACTTTGAGTAAGTCATCTGGTAAAGAAAATGCCTAAAGTACATTTCCTTAATATCACTACTAAAAAGCTCTAGCGCCACTTGTAAATTGATTTATTTACAAATAAACGAAACCTTTTAATGAACAATATATTAAAAGGTTTAATTGTTTAGAGAGTATAATAATATTATGCAATTTGTATAGTAACCCTACTTAATAAGATAAAATTTATTGTTATCGTAAATTGACTTATTACAAGTGCGGATTAAATTGTTGGTAACTAAAAATGGGATTACTTATCTATTTTAAGTGAGGTTAAAGCTTTGCAGCAGTTGGAAGTTAAAGAATTCTACCCCCATCTTAAACATTTTCAGCCTTAAAAAAAGGAATTTTGTAAAAAAAAAACATTTTTTGATTCTCTTCCAAAGCTGAAAGCCCTCGAACTGCAGTTAGAGAGAAAAAAAGAAAAAGAGTACAGTAATTGAAGCTTAAGGAAACTTTTTTGTCCCTCCAACATCTTCAGCTTAAGAAAGACAGTAGAAGAAATGATTATTGGGTTCTCAAGATATTCTCTTATCAATGTATCAACTGCTATGCTTGTCAATGTATTTATCCTCAAGGCACAATTCTTTTATACATTTCATCAATTTCTCATATTAATAACAAAACAATAATATATATCATTTGTGAAAAAATGTAATTATCATGCTAAAACTAAAATATATAATTTTTCCCATAATTTAAACTTGTTCTATTTCTCCCTTTTGAAATCTTCAGCCTAATTTGTCAAATGGAAATTAAGACTTGGTTTGAACGGAGAGAAAAGTAGGAAGAAAATAGAAAAGAGAGAAAACTCTAGAGAGAAATTTTAAAAATAATATATTTCATTATTATGTTTAGGAGTTTTCTCTCCTAGGTTTTTTTCCCTCTCTATTTTTCCATCCATCAAAACAAAGAGTAAAGAACTGAGGTAACATGCAAATGATCAAAATTAAATTATACTCACTTGCATAGTTTCATATAATTTTTGGTCATGATTAGGCATCAAATTCTTCTCCATAAAACAACTTCTTTACATATATTATATTTTGATTATTCTCCTGATTAATTCATACATAACTTTAGCAAGTCTTTCACTTCAAGAAATACAATTATTAAAAACGGTAAACTAAAGACTTTTGACTCTTGACTAGAAAAAATAGAAACCATCAAAATAGGAAAATAAGGACACAGTAGGAAACTATAACATAGGAATCTGTTATGAAACATTCTAGACACCCCACTTGTCTCCACCTGGGTTTAGCTTCAATCTCTTCTCCTTGGACCTCTTCTCCATGTCATGTTGAATATTACATCGGCTTACATTGAAAGATTTGGATTTCCACCAAAGCTTGTGTTTAAAATGAAAAGAGATCAAATTATATATCACTCTATTCACCAAAAAACCAGTGATAAAGAGGGCATTATCTTAACTGTCACTTTAAATAGAAGTAGAGGATCTCACTCAAAATTGAAGAGAAATTATAATGCTAGTTTATTTAAAACTCCTCCTGCAGATGGATAATGTATCTCCCTTAAAACATCAAATTAATTTATGCGGATAGTTCTCATATCATTAGTCATTTATTTCCCTAATGGAGGCATGACATATCAAAAGAAATATTTATACGTTCCCTAAAATTCAGAAGGATTATTTACACATTGTTAAATTTTAAAGGATAGTGTGAGATTATATGCTCAAGACCCTAAGTTAGGGGTATTGTAAATTTTAGCTATGAGAATTAAAAATGAAACCATTTAACTTTACTTCATTTTCTAACACTTATTTCAATTATTAAAAAAAAAATCCATCCTCTCGCAGTTGAAAAATTTGGAATTTAGGGTTACATATTCCTTTCTTGTACAGAAAGATGTTTTAAATGCTAAAGGGTGAAAGTTTAAGAGACTTAATTCTTGTTGAAGAAAAATGAAAGGGGTATTTGCAAAATGACTTAAATTGGCGAAGTGTAATGTGATTCCTACCTAAATAGATACTTCAAAAGGAGCATACCTTAGTTTAAGTGTTCCATTCTTTGACTTTTCTATAAGTTCTGATGGAATTGTTCCTGATAGCTTATTGTCTTCTAGGTCTCTTCAAGGGGGAAAATATAGTTTTAGTTCTTTTAGAATATACACGTTTGCATGAAGAATTTAAGAACGTGGAAGAACATTGAAACGGTATACTTACAGAACCTTCAAGAATTGCAGTTGAGCCAGGAAACTAGGTACTTCTCCAACTAAATTGTTGTCTGACAAATCCCTGAAACGACAATCAATTATCTTCACAGATCCTCAACTATAAGTTACCTTGTTACTATTTTCATCAAAGAGATTGAGATGCTTACAAATACTCAATGGACTTCAAATTGTATATGTCTGGAGCTATGTTTCTAGTCAATCCACCAGAGGATAAGTTCCTTAAAAAACAAAAAAAAGTTATGAAACTCATTGCTATATTGTTGAAGATAATGAAGTCAAACCGTAAAATGCTAAAATTTTCTTTTACTGCTATTTTTTGCCAAACTTACAAGGATGTGATCCTTCGTGGGCCAGATCCATCATAGCTGCAGTTAAGACCGTCCCACAAGTATGCCTGTGGAGTACAAGGGTCTCCTTGCCAGTTTCTCTTAATCCCATAAAATGACTTGATGTTCATGATTGCATCAACTTGTATAATACAAGCAAGTCAGTCAAGTTAAATTAATAACAATGGCAAATTTTGACAATATTAACTGAACTTGGAGCCAACGAACATACCATCTGTTTCCTGTGTTTGTGTTTGTGAGAGATTCTTTTCCACATATATCTCTATGGCATTGCAAAGAGGAGGAAGAGTTGATCTCTCCGTTCTATTGAGCCAAATATTGAGCCAAGGTTCAGGTTTTACAGCCAAATAATAAATGGTTCTAAGGTAGAAAGGACTGATATCAGCACTGAGAAGGCCTCCATTCACGAAAATGTCAAATTGCCTGGTTTGATTTTCTTGGAGTTTCTGGATTTCAGCAAAGTACATGTATGCATATAATGTGGAGGCATTGTAACCAGGAAGAAAGTTAAATTCCATGTTGTTGCCGGCATTAGCTGGAGTTGCTGCTGATCTCATGACAATGGATGGTGGGTAATTCATTAAACCAGATGATGTTGATCCTTGGTCTACAGGGAGTGAGGTATTTATCTGTTTCCAGTCTTTTGTGTTATAAGGTGTCCATATTCGATCATATGCGTCATCAGGGAATCTATAAAAATTGCAAAAGGATCAATAGAGGTGGAAATAGGTTAGGCTTTGACCAAATAGTCCTGGTGCCTCAGCCTAGCTTGATAGCTTCACTTTTAAGTCAACTATATATAGTTTCTTGCAATTTAGTTCCCTTTTCAATAAGATATTTTCATTTTTGTACATTGATCCTATTTCCTTTCATGAATATAGAACTTAAGCTAGCACATACCTTGTTCACATAATATAAGAACTAAGAAGGCTTGATTAAAAAAAACACTGATCTCATGCAATTCTTCCTATTTTATGTGTAACGACTCACCTGACTATTCACCATCCAGCAGCCCAAGATCATGCCTAGCCAAGAGGTCCAGAGAGCTAAAAGATAGACATCATAGTCAAGAAAACTAAGCTCCAACACTGATATGAAAGGTGTACCAGTGTTGGTGTTAAGAAGGCAAACATGAACAAAATCTGATGAAGCAGCATATATGATTTCTTTGGTTACTATCGCAGATGCATTCTGAAACACCAGAGTGTCCCACCCAATCGGCTCCAAAGAAAATATCAAACTTGGAAGAGGAATTTTCACCATCATAGTTTCCATACATGAACATGGCTCT